TTTAAATCAATGAGTCAAAAGGAGTAATTAATTCAACAGTACACCAAGTATAGCCTAGGAATTCCTAGAATGCATTTGAGGTCAGAACTATTTTCATGATAATATGAAGACACTGTCTTCTTCACGCTCATTCTATCACAAGTGTACAGTGAGGCATTTCAGAGGTTATGGCACATACAATACAACTATAGAAACAGATAAGAAAATTCAGCAGTCTTCTGTTAACCAGGCATTAAAGAGATGTGAAAACAACATATAACAATTCCACTCAGGTTATGAATTGTTTTTTGTTCTAGAAAATACTTATTTTTCACAAAAATATGCTATTCTATTTATGTTACATAGTAGCCTACTGTTATTTTAAAAGAAATGAATGTCTTAAAATTTTCTCTAATTTCTAATATAGTATTTTCTCGATAGGTAAAACCCACATAAACAAAAGCTCTTTGGAGGTCCCCTATAATATTAAAAAGTATAAAGTGATATGAAGACCAAAAAGTTTGAGAATCACTGAATTAATGTATACTGGTGAATCCTCTACAGGGAAATGTATGACTCTTGGCAAAGAAGCATAGTTTTACGGAGGTGGCTGTTAGAATCCATCCACCCAATAGTTGGAATAGTTGGCATTCTAACTATTTGCATTTTTCTGTTAAAATGAAAACATCACAGAAGCGCTATCACCGAAGAGTTATGTGTTGATGGTGAGTACTGACGCAGCACTGCCTAAGGTCTACATTCTTCTAAAGAAGTGATTCAAGCACACTGATGCATTTTTTAAAGCATCTTTCAAGTCTCCCTAAGCTAAAATGAAGAACTAATTGTAGGTACACACCTAAAGAGAAAACATACAAAACAAAGGTAGAATTACAAAAGATAAACAAATATTTTTCTTTTTTTCTTTCTCTTAAGAGACAGAGTCTCACTTTGTCACCCTTGGTAGAGTGCTGTGCTGTCACAGGTCACAGCAACCTCCAGCTCTTGGGCTTAGGCGATTCTCTTGCCTCAGCCTCCCAAGTAGCTGGGACTACAGGTGCCCGCCACAACGCCCCGGCTATATTTTGTGGCAATTTGGCTGGGGCCAGGTTCAAATCCACCACCCTCAGTATATGGGGCCAGTACCCTACTCACGGAGCACAGGCTCACAGTTATTTTCATAGAGCAACTCAAACCTTTCATATGACTAGACATTGAGTATCTATCTATTCAGGGTACTGTATATAGCCATAATTAAATTCTTGACTGCCTATAAAACACAGGGTGTAAAATATTGATAAAAATAATGGGAAAACTTTCTTGTTACTAACATTACCAATTCTTTAATACCAGGCTACGTGCCCACATTCAGTACTTCAATTATGCAAAATAATTTCTAACCAAGTCTACTATTCCTTAGAAGAATGTAGAACTTTCACTTTACCTATAACTTTCCTAAATACAGTAGTTAAAGGGTAAGAGCAAGACTAGAAGGCACCATTTCCTCTTCCAGTGTAGAATGATAATAATGATGGTGGCTTCCATCATATACATAATGAAGCTTTGTTTATGCCAGGTATAACACAAAATGCCTTGTATTCAGTATTTTATCTAACCTTCACAAGAAGAATGAAGCTTGGGTTAGAATTCAGGTTTGTGATGCCCTAACTGTGGTTTTAACCACTACAACAAAACTGCAAGGTATGGAATTAAATTTCAGTTTGGAAACATGCCAAAAATCGCTTCAGTTCTCTTATTCCTAAGTCAGTTTTGTGTGTGTATCTGTGTGCGTGCACACGTGTCTGTGTGTGTCCATGCCCATGTGTATATGAACAAAAATGTTAAGATTAAATTATTCATGGCTGACAAATGAAAATTTAGAAGACTGGTATTTTAATTTGCAAAAAAGCACTATATAAAGTGATTTACCAAGTAGAGACTGACTGCATAATGAAAAGTCAATGTGACTTTTACCCTTTCATATTTCTTATGAATAAAAACCAATACAACTTTAGAGTTGAAGATTACAGAACTCAATTAATCACCAGGGTTACTTTTTAAAACTTAAGAAGTAAGGTTATTCAACTTAAAAGCAGTACCTACCAAATATCTAGATACCACACTACATATTTAACCTCATTTCTTGTGTGCATGCATGAACTAGCCTGCTATCTTAAAAACTAATTTAAGGGGGCGGTGCCTGTGGCTCAAAGGAGTAGGGCACCAAACTCCATATATCGAAGGTGGTGAGTTCAAACCCAGCCCCGGCCAAAAAAAAAACTAACTTAAGGAAACAGCTACTCAAAGAATTTGACATTGAGCTAATATTCATTTGGTTATTAGAACTCTCTAAAAAGTAGTACAAATTTTATTGTTGTAAAACTTAAAGTGTCCTCTCAGTTATTTGAAATGGTATACCTGAATAAAATCTAGACTTAGTGATAGACACATGTCTTTTTAATGACTGCTTAATTATAACAAATAGTGAATTATGTTATAAAATATATTGTAAGTTGGCTCAGTGCCTGTAGCTCAGCAGTTAGGGCGCCAGCCACATACACCAGAGCTGGCGGGTTTGAATCCAGCCCGGGCCTGCCAAACAACAGTGACAAATACAACTAAAAAATAGCCAGGCATTGTGGCAGGCGCCTGTAGTCCCAGCTACTTGGGAGGCTGAGGCAAGAGAATCACTTAAGCCTAAAGAGTCTGAGGTTGCTGTGAGTTGTGACACCACGGTAGTGTACCCAAAGCAACTATATATATCACACACACATATAGAGAAAGTTGCCTCTTAAGAAGCCAAGTAATTCCCATAGGCTTAAAATTTTTTTTCAAAGAGATTTCGCCATTTATCACATTTCTGATCACGTTAAAAAAAAAAAAAACTATATATGAGGTCTGTGTAACTTAAATTCCTGAAGGGAATATTCTGATATTCTATTTCTATTAACTTGCCAATATTACATGAGGATGCTACGTATCCCAAGTATGGCATTGGCTCTTTACCATCTACTCTGCAGAACTTTAACCAAAATTTAGTTTAAAAAAAAAAAAATGCAAGAATAGCAAAAATCAAACATTACCTTTTTAACGCCAATCTGGACAGCTCTCCCTATTACATCCTGTAAGTCATCTGTAAAAGACAAACCCCACGTTATGAAAACTTGGTAAATAAAAATTTAACTATTATTTGGCTTTTGTGTATAGTTATTTAAACTTCCATAAGTTAGAAGGGGTTCATTAAAATATTTCATAAAAATATATACATATTGTTTCACTTTCTTTAACTGTTTTATTCACGATGAAGAACTCCTTATTATATCACTTATCAGAGTAAATTCTGATAATTATCTCCCATAATCATGCTTTTCAAGATTTTGCAGAAAATTTGTCTTCATAGAGAAAATTTACATTAATAAAAGAAACATTTACCTGGATGCTTTTGAACCTCCCTATAAATCCCTCTGAACATAGGATCTGTCAAGTTGATACCAATATCTGTGGAAAGCAAAAATAAAATAACTGATTATTCAATTAAGAGTGTCTATTTGAAAGTTTTACTTTAAATAAAAGTTCCTGTGACCCAATTTTTCATTCACAAATTCATCTATTCAAACAATAATGAAGTGCCTACCACATGTCAGCTACTGTGCCCCACACGCAGAATACAAAGATATATTTAAGAAGTAATTCCTGCTTTAGAGAAACTTACTGCAGAATTGGTAAAGCAGACTCATTAACAGATAATTATGAAATATTAGATGTAAACACTGGCATTCTGGGCACAGAAGAGGAGTTCAAAACCAGCCTGGGCAGCATAGCAAGACACCATGTTTAAAAAAAAAAATAGCAGCCATGACTGACTCCCCCTTGAGCTAAATAATCACCCTCCTGAAGCTGCCTGATGTGAGAACTCTGGGCCTGAAGGACACCAAGTACACATACAGTGCCATACACCTTATAGTTCGACAATCTATAGCCAATCACTAACCAATGTTATTTCTGTAAAACAATGATGATTCCTGATAAACAACTTTTGTGAGGGCCCCTTATCCGGTATGTCCTTTTTCCCCCTTTAAGTACTTAAGCCTCTCTTTTGTTCTCCTGAGTACTTCCCAAGGCACCTACCTAGGGATGCAGTCATCAACCTTTGTGTTCAAATAAACTCTATTAGATTCTGACCTTCTTGATTAATTTAGGCCGACAACAGTATCCTTTGAATTAAAACAGTTTCTATCAAAAGTATGCCTATTAGCAAAGTAACCTCAAAAAAAGTACACAAATACTGTACGAAAACCAATTTCTAGTCAGATCCAGCTAAAGACAGTTGAAATAGTTTGAAAAACCAAAAATGTAAGAGAAAGGGGTGGCAGGAAATTACAAGAAGAAAAACAATGCAGACTGAAATACGAAATACTTGTAATTAGGAGTGGAAATTAAGGGATTCTTACACAGGAGCATGCCACTCTGTACAGATCAGTGGCTTTCCCATTAATTTTGAGTATTTCACGGGGTTCCTAGGCCAGTGCCAGGCCCACCAGAGAGGTTCAGTAACTGTGACGTGAAGGAGCGAACTGTTAAGTTCATGGTCCCTTAAAGCCGTCATCCTCTCAGCTACAGCAGAGGGGAAGGGCCAGGAGGTGCACTTGGGATGACAGGGACTGGAACTTGGGAGGTTGCTTTCTTCCTCTACTTTAAATCGCAAACAACACAATACAATCATAACCATGCTTGTGGATTTTCACAAATAAATACACACTCGCGAATCCCGGACTTAGATCAAGAACCAGAATACTGATGACCAGCATCGTCCCAGAAGTCTCCCCAACCTCTTTTCCATCTTTAAAAATCTTTAAAAATCTGCAGAGCTCAAGTCCTAGCCCTCCAGCCTTGGGGAGCGACGCCCCGGACAGGTCAGAAAGATTCAAGAACCGGCAAAACCTGTTCCCCTTACCGATAAACTTGAAGCGAGTCATGACTGCAGACACAGGGCCTCCCCGACGGAAGCGGAAGTGGCCGCCGGTCCGCTCCTCCTTCCGCCTCGCCCGGGGCCCGCAGCCGCAGACTTCCGGTTTCCCGGCGGTCCCCGCGGCCGCTGGAGGTGAGCGGCCGCCATGGCGTTCTCGGCGCCTACGGCCTACCTGACCCATCAGCAGAAGGTGTTGAGGCTTTACAAGCGGGCGCTGCGCCACCTGGAGTCGTGGTGCATCCACAGGTGGGAATGGTGGGTGGACCCAGGGTCGGGGTTGGGGGTAAGCCTGGGTACCCGCCGAGGCTAAGAAGCGCCAGGGAACCGGGCGGCTCAAGGACTTGAGGGACGCGTCGGAGGGCAGCCTCGCCCTACAGATCCTGCTAGAACCGGCTTCGAATCTAAGCCTCCCCGCCATCCACATAGCCGCGAGACCTTGTAGAGTTGCTTATCTGGTCCGGTTCTCAGTTTTCTATGAAGTAAAACGGACTTGGGACCCAGCACAAAGGGTTGCATGAAGATTAAATGAAATAAAGGATTGTGCCTAAAACTGTAATTGTCATGGCCCCAACGCTCACGAAATTATTGCTTTCTTCATGATCACTTATTAACAGTAATAATATGTGTACATCATATTATTATGCTTAGTCTGCAGAACGACTCTAGAAGCTAGAGATTGTTTCAAAGATGAGGAATAGGGAAGGAGAGACTTTATCAACTCCTTTTCATTACCTTCATTTTTTTTCACCTCCTGCATATTTCCTCTCTCCTCTTATGCCTCTGAGGCTAGTCTTAGAACACAGGGTTAAAAAATATAGATTTTCATGTTCTAAATCCAATGCAAGGTGCGATGTGTGAATACCAGGCCTCTACTCTTAGAATTTTAAAAACCAGTTTCAGGAGAAGGGCTTCTGGGAAAATGACTAGATCTAGAAGAGTTGCATAGGGTATGCTTGAAGCCTAGATTACATACTTGTGATTATGAGAAGGTCACCAAGGTACTTCTCTTTGGTAGGCAGGAAGATGGCCATGTACAATGTTATTGGATGGTTAGTTTCTTCCCTGAGTTTTCCTAATTCATTTATTTGACAGAATTTGCAATTCCAGTTTTATTAATGGATGCCAAATAAATAAAAGTTAGTAAATCATATTAAGAGCTGCGACTGTTCATGGATTAGTGGGGAAAATGGACATATAAACAAATAGATAATCACTCAGTCTTATAAAGATGAAGGAAGTCAAGCCATGAAGAATTCAGGTATCCCAGCACAAAGAAATGATGAAAGTTTAAGGGATGAATGTCCTCATTATCCTGATTTGATCACAACTCATGGTATCCACGTTTCAAAATACCACACGTACCTCACATATGTATCAATTTTAAAAAGTTTAAAAATTCAGGTAATCCTGAACTAGAGCTGGGAACATTAAAATTCATAGCCCTGAAGAAAATGGTAAAACTAGCTACTGTTACAGCACTGGCTCAGAATTTTAAAAATCTAACATTTTCCTCAGTCCTTGCTTGAATTCCTTCCTCCATTTGCCCCCATAGTGCTATCTGTTCTCTGTGATTCCATCCTAGGCTCTATTACCACTGTATGTACTTTGGGGAACCTTATTTAAGGCTGGGACTTGAGTTGCCACCTATGCTCATGTTTCTAGGGCTTTAGTTCGAGTTATCTGTTAGACTACCTCCTATGAAACTCAATTTGTCTGAATTCTTTAAAACAAACTGTTCTCATCAACTCTCCATTCTGATTGTCTTCCCAGATTCCATGCTTGAATGGCCCTGTTAGCAATTCAGTTACTAAGCTTTAAGTCTCATAATTATTCTCAAGTATTCACTATTTACTCCTGTGACAATAACACACCTGCTCATATACTATGTATAATTGGACACTGATTTTTGTAAATTCTCTTTCTGGTATAATAGTAACTGATATTGGATACCTGGATATACCAAACACTTTGCAAAATGCGTTTATGTGTTTTAGCTATATGTCAACCTTAAGGTAGACAGTTGTTGTTAACACTTTTTTATAGAGGAGGAACCTATGGCCAAGAGACATAAAATACAATTTACCTCTGTAAATTGACCACCCAAGAAACTGCAAAAAACTGCAACACACAGATGTGGTCAACATAAGGAACTTAGGCTTACTGTACTGACACGTACATGTGATGCGTAGCTAATCTACAAAAATTAGGTCAATTTAAGTATGTGGTCAGTGTAGGGAGGTGATCACCTATGGAGCTAATACTGTAATTTATCCCAGATTACACAGTAGTAGCAGAGCTAAAATGCAGTCCCACATAGTCTGACTTGAGCCTATTCTCATAACTTGGTAATCTGAATGTCTCTGCACTGTCTTCCTTCTGTCACTACCACAGCTGCCTGCTTCAGGTCTTTGTATTTGTGGCCTGGATTATTGTAAAAGTGTCATAACTGATCTCTCACAGTTTATTGAGACCCTGACAGCAACTTGGCTAAGGTCATATGGCTAGTATGAGACAGGATTCGACCCCAGGTCTGTGTAATTTGAGCAGTATTATTTCTACCATATAATACCTCCTTTCTAATTCATCTTTGTTATCGCCAAAATTTAGCACAGTGCCTAGCATAAGATAGAAGAAAATGGAGTAAATTGTCACTGAATGAGTGTTGAATGGTCCTACACAGGCTGTAGTTTTATCTTTTGCTAATGCTGTTTCCTTTTTTAAGGAATGATGTTTAAATCATTCAGTAAATTGTCACTGAATGAGTGTTGAATGGTCCTATACAGGCTTTATCTTTTGCTAATGCTGTTTCCTTTTTTAAGGAATGATGTTTAAATCATTCAGTAAATTGTCACTGAATGAGTGTTGAATGGTCCTATACAGGCTGTAGTTTTTTTCTTTTGCTAGTGCTGTTTCCTTTTTTAAGGAATGATGTTTAAGTCATCATTCCTTTGTTAGAGGAGAAGAGAAAAATGGTTAGGCTGTATTATGGCATTTTTTGTTGCTGATGTTTAGCAGGCTGCAAAAGAAGCAATTATAATGATATGGGTGCTCCATTGACAAGGGTTGGGGAGGTGCCAGGATGTTACATACTCATCCAGAAAGTACAGTATTAGTAAGAGTACAGCCTCCTGTCAGATGGTAATACTCTGTACTGCTCACTTGAGCAGATATCATTTCTAATCTCCAAAATCATTTTGGTTTAAGGGACAAATACCGGTACTTTGCTTGTTTGATGAGAGCCCGGTTTGAAGAACATAGGCATGAAAAAGATATGAGGAAGGCCACCCAGCTGCTGAGGGAGGCAGAGGAAGAATTTTGGTATCGTCAACATCCGCAGCCGTATATCTTTCCTGACTCTCCTGGGGGCACCTCCTATGAGAGATACGAGTGCTATAAGGTAGGTGAGGATTACTATGGCATCTGCCTTCTGGGAGCCTTATAAACCACTTGCCCTTGAGGGGTAGCTATGAGATTTCTGACAGTTGTCAGATACAGGCATACCTCATTTTATTATACTTTACTATATTGTGCTTTACACATAAAGACTTTTTACCAATTGAAGGTTTGTGGCAACCCTGTGTTGAGCAAATCTGTCAGTGCTATTTTTTCAACAGCATATGCTCATTTTGTGTCTATGTGTTATATCTTAGCAATTTTCAGAACACTAACATTTTATGCTTTTTCATTATGTTATCTGTTACGGTGATCGGTGATCTTTGATCATTCATCTTTGATGGAACTATCATAATTGTTTTGGCGCACCACAAACCATGTCACCATGTTGACATAAAGACAGTGGACTTAATTGATAAATACCGTGTGAGTTCTGACTGCTCCACCACCAGCTGTTCATCTGTGTCTGTCCCTCTCTCCAGGCCTCCCAATACCTGGGACATACCAATATTGAAGTTAGGCCAATTAAAAATCCTACAATGGCCTATGAGTGTTCAAGTGAAAGAAGAGTTGTACATCTTTCACTTCAAATTAAGAGCTAGAAAGCATTAAGCTTGGTAAGGAAGGCCTGTCAAAAGCTGAGATAGGCATAAAGTGAGGCCTCTTGCAGCGAATAATTAGCTGAGTTGAATGTAAAAAGAAAAGTTTTTAAAAGAAATGAATATGCTATTCCAGTAAACATACGAATGATAGAAAGTGAAATAGCTGATAGGAAGAAAGTTTGAATGGTCTAGATATAAGATCAAACCAACTACAATATCCCCGTAAGCCAAAGCCAGGCCTTAACTCTCTTCAATTCTGTGAAGGCTGAGAGAGGTGAGGAAGCTATAGAAAAACTTTGAAGCTATCAGAGTTTGATTCATGAGTTTTAAGGAAATAAGCATGGCATTATAAAAGTACAAGGTGAAGCAGCAAGTGCTAATACAGTAGCTGCAGCAGGTTTTCCAGAAGACCCAGCTAAGATAAATTTTCATTGTGGATGAAATAGCCTTTTATTTGAAGGAGTTGCCATCTAAGGAACTTCCATAGTTAGAAGGGAGAAGTCAGTGTGTGGCTTCAAAACCTCAAGGGGCAGGCTGACTCTCTTGTTAGGGGCTAACGTAGCTAATGACTTGAAGTTGAAGCTAGTGTCCCATTGACCATTCCAAAAATCCTAGGGCTCTTAAGATTATACTAAATCTGCTCTGCCTGTGCTCTGTGGAACAACAAAGTCTGGATGGCAGCTCATCTGTACATAGCATGGTTTACTAAATATTTTAAGTCCTCTGTTGAGAACTGCCACTGAGAAAAAAAAAGATTCATTTCAAAATATTACTGCTGGCTCGGCGCCTATAGCTCAACCGGCTAAGGCGCCAGCCACGTACACCTAAGGTGGCGGGTTCGAATCCCCAGCCCGGACCTGCCAAACAACAATGACGGCTGCAACCAAAAAATAGCCGGGCGTTGTGGCGGGCGCCTGTGGTCCCAGCTACTTAGGAGGTGGAGGCAAGAGACTCGCTTGAGCCCAGGAGTTGGAGGTTGCTGTGAGCTGTAATGCCATGGCACTCTACCCAGGGGGACAGCTTGAGGCTCTGTCTCAAAAAAAAAAAACAAAAAAAAACAAAATATTACTGCTCATTGATAATGCACCCAGTCACCTAAGAGTTCTGATGGAGATGTATCGATACATGGAAATTAATTTCATTTTCATGGTTGCTAAGACAACATCCAATTTGCAGCCCATGAATCAAGGAGTAATTTTGACTTGCAGATCTTACTACTTAAGCAGTAAGGCTGTAGCTTACTGTTACTATACAGTAAGTTACTATAGGCTGTAGCTGCTATCTGTAGGGCAAAATAAATCTTAAAACCTTTTGGGAAAGTTTCACCATTCTACATGCCATTTAGAACATATTTGACTCATAGAAGGAGGTCAAAATTTCAACATTAACAAGTTTGGAAGAAGTTAATTTCAGCCCTTATGGATGACTTTGAGGGGTTGAAGACTTCAGGAGAGGAAGCAACGGCAAATGGAGAAATAGCAAGAGAAGTAGAATTAGAAGGGGAGCCTGAAGATATGACTCAGTCCTGGGATAGGAACAGATGAGTTCTTGTGGATGAGTAAAGAAAGTTGTTTCTTAAGATAGACTTTCCTAGTGGAGGTTCTGGGAACAGTGTTGAAATGACTAACAAAGGAGTTAGAATACATCAACTTAGTTGATAAAGCAGGGTTTGAAAAGATTAACTCCAATTCTGAAAGAAGTTTTGTGGGTAAAATGCTATCAAACAATATCACCTGCTATGGAGAAATCTTTCATGAAAGGAAGAATCAGTTGATGTAGCAAACTTCCTTGCTTTAAGAAATTGCCACAACCACAACTCTCAGCAACCACCACCCTAATCAGTTGGCAGCCATCAACATTGTTGTAAAACCCTCTATCAGCAAAAAGATTATAATTAGCTAAAGATTCAGAGGATCATTAGCAGTTTTTAGCTATATTTTTAAGTTGTGTACTTTTTAAAGACATAATGCTATTGCCACTTAATACACTACAGCAGGCATCCTCAAACTACAGCCTATGGGCCACATGCAGCCCGCTTAGGACATTTATCTGGCCCGCCTGGTGTTTTTGCCGCCGCTGCCTGTCCTGCTTAGCCAACTTGTCCCAGGGTCCATAGTCTGACCCTCCAAGGGTCTGAGGGACAGTGAATTGGCCCCCTGTTTAAAAAGTTTGAGGACCCCCGTACTACAGTATAAATATAACTTTTGTGTGCACTGAAAAATCAAAAAGATTGCATGACTTGCTATTGTGATACTCACTTTATTGCAGTGATCTGGAACTGAAATTACATTATCTCCAAGGTATGCCTATACTCTTTTATTAGGTATCAGTTTTCTCTACCTTAGATGTCATTAAGACTTTTCTTTCAAATTCAGCTGAAGGTCTTGCATTATGTTTTGGCAAAGCAAAGTGCTAAGTTACTTGGTAAATAACTAATTTTAGGACCTTAAAGTCAACCAACTTGGATTGGTGCTTAGTATTTCTGAGATACTATAATGGTTAAAAATAACATAACTACTCTGGATATTTAGAGAAAGCAAGTAGAAGAGGAATGCTCCAGGGCCCTTTGGACTGATGCTGTTCCTGTTTTTTCAGCCATAGGCTCTTTCTTTAGTTTCTGCTTGTCCCTGCTATTCATTGCTTAGAGTTAGAATCACCCTGATAGTTGCAGTGGTTATAAAAACTCATCTTGGGGGGCGGCTCCTGCTGGCTCAAAGAAGTAGGGTGCTGGCCCCGTATGCCAGAGATGGCAGGTTCAAACCCAGCCTTGGCCAAAAACAGCCAAAAAAAAAATTTTAAAAAAGAAGGAAAACTCATCTCGGGCTCAGCACCTGTGGCTCAAGCTGCTAAGGTGCCAGCCACATACACCTGAGCTGGCAGGTTTGAATCCAGCCTGGGCCTGCCAAACAACGATGACGGCTGCAACCAAAAACTAGCTGGGAGTTGTGCGGGCGCCTGTAGTCCCAGCTACTTGGGAGGCAGAAGCAGGGGAATCACTTGAGCCCAGGCGTTGGAGGTTGCTGTGAGCTGTGATGCCACGGCACTCTACCCAGGGCAACAGCTTGAGGCTCTGTCTCCAAAAAAAACTCACCTTAGCCTGTAATCCTCACACTCTGGGAGGCCGAGGTAGGTAGATTACCTGAGCTCAGGAGTTCAAGACCAGCCTGAGCAAGAGTGAGACCCCTCTCTTAAAAAAAAAAAAAAAAAAAAAAGCCCAGTGTTGTGGTGGGAGCCTGTAGTCCCAGCTACTTGGAAGGCTGAGGCAAGAGAATCACTTGAGCCAGAGTTTGAGGTTGCTGTGAGCTATGACACCACAGTGCTCTACCGAGGGTCACAAAATGAGACTCTGTCTCAAAAAGAAATAACTAACCTTAATTTTTGTCTTCTGTCTACTAAACAGGCCCCGTCAGTGGCTTGTAAATGTATCTTGTGGAGTGACACCATGATTTCCTCTCTTGACAGATTCCAGAGTGGTGCTTAGATGACTGGCATCCTTCTGAGAAGGCAATGTATCCTGATTACTTTGCCAAGAGAGAACAGTGGAAGAAACTCCGGAGGGAAAGCTGGGAGCGAGAGGTGCGTCTTACTTGCCCTTAACCATATAGCGTGGCCACGTGGATGGAGTCAGGTTTTTCAGAGGTCCAGATTCCAGCCATAACGGTTACTCTGGCCCTGTGCTTCTCAGACATACTTAAATTTCTAAGTGTGCTTAATTTAACATTTACAGCCATCTCACAAATAAGTTAAAATGTATTGCCTGTTCGTTTTGGCTTTTCTCTCTGATTTTGCTTCACTCCTTCTTCTCAGTCCTTTGCCTGACCTTGCTGTACCCTGTTACCTCTTAATCTTCCTCTCCACTGACCCTTAGGCATTTTTCAGTCAAGTTATGATGATCAAGAGTTATATTTTCAAGAGCTCAGTCTTGCTGTAGTGTGAAGAATATATTGGAGAGGGCAGGAAGAGGACTAGACAAACCAATTTGAAATTATCACAATAGTTTGGTTAAAAAAGGTCATATTGACTAGCACTAAGGTGGACACAGTCAATATGGAAGGAGTTAGATTCCAGATGACTTTTGACGGGATATGAAGATGATTACGTGTGGGGAACAGGGAGGGACAGGGAGGAATCTAGAGTGGTTTCCAGGTGTTAAGCTCCCACATGTGGAGCTTGGTAGTGGTAGTGAGTTAGGGACCACCAGGGATAGGTGGCATGTGATAGGTGTTGGAAGGACTATGAGGCGTTGCTTTGGAAGTGTGAAGTTTGAGACTCCTATGCGAGAGTAGGTAACTTAGGAAGTCCGAGGGGAGATTTGGCCTAGGAATAGAAACTTGTTAGTTTCTGATTGTTTTTAAAGCCACAGAGAGATGAGACTGTAGAGAAGAAAGAAAAGGAGAAAGATCTTTTTCTATTATAACTGGACAAAGATGTATATAAATAAGTGTTAGCAGTGTTAAGATGATAGACTTCTGTGTGGTAGCTTCTAATCTTTTAGTGAAACAAGAGGAAAAGCTAAGAAGTGGGTACTCTGTTTGAAGAATATAGAAAAAATGGGGTAGTCCTGGGGAGAGAAATAGAATGACCAGGTAGTGGTGAAGGCCCATTTGGAGTTGAGAACAGTTAAGTGTTGTGATACCAGTTTGTTCCAGTATTATTCTTTTCTCTTTAGCAATATTAAGTAGTATAGGGGCAGGCTGGAAGGTAGGTGGTTCGGTTTGTCCATTGCCCAGAGGTGCTGACATTGGGTCATGCCAAAGGGAACAATTGTCTGGATGGCTCATGGCTATAATTGTAGCACTGTGGGAGGCCGAGATGGGTAGACCTCCTGAGCTCAGGAGTTCTAGACCAGCCTGAGCAAGAGCTAGACACCATCTCAAAAAAAAAAAAAATTAACTGGGCATTGTGGCGGGTGCCTGTAGTCCCAGCTAGCAAGGAGGCTGAGGCAAGAGAATTGCTTTGAGGGTTTGAGGTTGCTGTGACCTACGATGCCACAGCACTCTACCAAGGGCAACACAGTGGGACTCTGTGTCAAAAAACAAAGGAAGTAAAGACAGAGGAAGCTGATGCAGAGAGGGAATATCAGGTTGGGTAGTAGTCAGGCCCAGTGGTTCACGCTTGTAATCCCAGCACTCTGGGAGGCTGAGGTGGGTGGGTGCTTGAGCTCAGGAGTTTGAAAACAGCCTGAGCAGGGACAAGACCCCATCTCTAAAAAATAGCCAGGTGTTGTGGCAGGCGCCGGTAGTCCCAGCTACTCATGAGGCTGAGGCAAGAGGATCACTTTGAGCCCAAGAGTTTCAGGTTACTGTGAACTATGATTCCATGACACTCTACCTGGGAGGCTCTTGTCCCAAAAAAATAAGTAAGATCAGGTTAGGTGGGAGGATCTATGACTTGTTCATTTCTGTGAGTTTCAGGGGGTATTTAAGGACATGAGCTAGAAGGGAAGGAGTGGTGGTTGGATAGCAGGATATTTGAATTCGTGATTTTGGAAGTTGTGCTGGTTGTGCTGATATAGTCCAGGATATTGACCTTTGGACATCTTTGGCCAAGGTAGAGTGTAAAGAAGGTTACTGTGACCAAAGTACAGAGTGTTTTGTAAGAAATGTTTCAGCATTTAGAAGTTTGAAGTTTATTTATTCTCAGAGAACTCAGGTTCATTGTGCAGTGGATCACCGTGATTACTTCTCAAGTGCACTCCTCCTTTGCTTATTCCATTGCTTCAACATTATTAAACTACACGAGTTTGGAGGCCCAGAGCACAATCGAGAATGAATTATTCTGGAGGAAGCTTCAGCTCTTAGGTCTCTTCCCCTGCTAACATTTATCTTGAGATCACTAGAGCTAGGGGTAGCTGGGCCCCATAGGGCAAACTAAGCACATTCTTACATGTGAATTTCATGTTATTTCTTGTCCTGGTTACTCTGTAGGAGGCCTTACAATTCACATCATTAATATATTATGAGCTAAAGTTTCTTAATAGTGCTTTTGGAGACTACTTAGCTGAGACACAAAAATAAATGTTTCTAGGGGACAGGTAGGGAACCATGACAAGGAGAATTGAAATGGTAGTTGTGTTTTGCTTTAAACAAAATAGTTAAGAGGGTTTGTTCTTAGCTTTGCTGTTTTTTTTTTTCTTTCCTCCTTTGTTTTGTCTTTTTCTTTTCTTTTTTCTTTTTTTTTTGACAGAGTCTCACTTTGTGGCCCCCAGTAGAGTGCCCTGGCTCGTAGCTCACAGCAACTTGAAACTCTTGGGCTCAAGCAATTCTCTTGCCTCAGCCTCCTGAGGAGTTGGGACTACAGGCGCCTGCCACAATGCCTGGCTTAGCTTTGCCATTTTAAGGAATGGGAAAACCCTTAAAAGATAAAAACTTTTCTGTTTGAGTAAAAGTACAGGTTATATAAATACTTTTCAGTGTTGAGATTAGGTGGTATATGACACCCCATAGAAATTAAGCTGACACTTCACTGCAGCCACCTGTCAGAGACTCCTTCAGTAATTCTTCCTTCCTTGCCTCTTTCTAGGTTAAGCAGCTGGAGGAGGAAACCCCACCTGGTGGTCCTTTTACTGAAGCTTTGCCTCCTGCTCGAAAGGAAGGTGATTTGCCCCCCCTGTGGTGGCATATTGTGACCAGACCCAGGGATCGGCCTATGTAGAGAGAGAGAGACCTTACTGTTTATGTTTGCAAGTGAAGTAAGTTACAGAACACATATACACTTGCCCAAATAAAAATAACTAAAATGGTCTGGTCTGACTGATGTGTTCTGATTACCATGATGCCAAGTGATGTGCCACATGTCACTGTTTTCATATCAGTTGTGCATGTAAACAAAATAACATGACATGTTCTCTCCTTCTCAAGAAATATTAATAGCACATTAGAGAAAACTTTGCAGCAGAGCCAGGTACAAGACTAACTTTGCTGATCGAGGTAGACCGACTTTCAAGTTAAAGGCGTCGTTAACTGTAGTGACTAGAAGGAAAGGTGAGAAATGCTGAGGTCTTAAATAACCCTTTGGTTTTCTACAGATTCCACTAACAGGTTTACAGTTTTTATTTAAAGGACAGTTCTCCCTAAGCAGCACACAATCAACAAATAAGCGTAGACTTATGGCGTTGCCTCAGATGGTCAGGGTTAAAGTGTCCCGACCAGTATGCAACCTTTTTGTGACACTTATTGTAGAGCCAGTTTTTCAGCTTTAGACGGCAGGCTGAAAGGGAAGGGTGTAACAGAAGTCTAAATGTTTCAAGAAAAAACATTGTTTTTTAAAGGTAAAGCAGTTTTTAAAACTACCAACCTCAAACGGGTACTTTGAGTTCTTGGTAATTCATCGGACCTGGTCTCAAATAGTTAGGTCGGGCAACTAGTATTCTCATGGCTCAACCATAAAGTACTTTGTCAGTTTTAGAAGTAAGATCAATTTGAGTCTCAGTCCATCTTCTAATACTCGACTGAGGCCTCAAACTGAATTTTAACAAGACTTGAAATACAAAACTTTTTTTTTTCTCTCTAGTGGTTCTTTATTTATAACGTAGGCTGAAGCAACTGTTACAATGTAGAAGGGAGACACATTACACAACTGTTATTTATACAAGTTTAGAACAAAAAACTGCACAGGGAGAGGTCAACTCTCAGTACAAACTAGCAACTAAACCACAATAATTTACCTTTAGAAAGGATTTCTTTATTTTTTAGCTGTGACACTGCTTTTACAATATGCAAAAACACAAACAGGAACTACCCAAGGTGTCTTGTCACATTCTTTCTACATTGAATTTGGCAACAGTTGATATTTATTCTGATTACACTAACGTTTAAAAACTAAACAAGTGAAAAGCTGTACCCAGGTACAGTTACATCCATTTATTCCAAAGGTTTAAAATACCACTTGAATCTATTGTGATTACCTTGCAGTGGTTTCCGCTTTTGCAAAAACCATCTCAAGCATCATATGCACAATGCATCAGCTACTTTTAGTCATCAAGATTGGTGGGCTAAACCACAGGCACTACTGTTGCTTATATTTTGTAAAAAGGAGCTTGTTTTTCAAAGAAAAAAAGCTTAAAGTTTCTAATAATCATGCCTTTGCTTTAAAGCCATAACATAAAATGTCCTTGAGCAATCAGCAGTGTTAAATGTTAATATACAGAACAGTGACTATACAGGTACATTACTCTCACATCCAATGCAGTTATGTGTTAAAGCATAAGAGTATGTCATTGAGGATCAGAGCCAACAGAAATCCACAGGGGTTTGGGACCCACCAAACTCCACTTCTGGAGAAGTACAGTCACAAATGTGCCCTATCAGCAGACCAAACTGCTAAGGGGCTGGCTTTCTTTTTAAAACACTATTGGCTTCTCCAAACGTGATCCCTTTAAATCTACAAATCTCTGTTGGCTTTAAGGGATGGGAATTATAACAAATTTTAACTTCCACTTAAAAAAGAAAAGACAAATCCATTCCAAAAAACATTACCTAAATACAGAAAAGGACAATATAGTGGTCAGAATCCCAGTGACAATAAACAAATCCTCCTCTCTTCAAGGTTAAGTGCGAAGCCAATTAACTGCTATTGATTTAAAAGAAGAAAAGAAAAACAAGCCCCCAGATTGGTAAACACATTGGCAAGTTGCTAGACTCCAAGCTGGTTACCCTTGTTAAATCCGCTCGAGTATTTTCAAAATATTTGGGCTTTTCAATGCACCCAGCCTGCTGGGCACAATTAAGTAAAAGGCATTTGCTATATTTCTAAGAATTCCCTGCTATCATTTTTAAAATGTTTTCACATTTTTTTTAAACTGCCTTATCCTTTTGGATGTATCTGGATTCAATGAAAGTGAGTACGATCGACGAGAAAGTAAAGTGGGGCGTTCTACGTCTACCCAGTGGCAGCAGCATGCACGGGATTGGAGGTGGGTGCTGTGTGCAGTCAAGAGGAATTGTGGGAGAAAAGAAGTCCTTAAACACCCTACAGAAACAAACACTGCAATCCAGTATGGCTTATTCGGATGCATTTACCATGAAGCTACTAGAAATTCAACCTACAAGGCTACTCTTAAATGTGACAGGATCGGCTATGTTGACAGTGTGCCCCTCCCATGGCCCTCCCCCCAATCCCAACACAGTCTACCATTTCCAGACTTACTTCACTCTGAATATTGCTCATCAATTGTTACTCCTGCTTTTCCCCTCCATAACATAGTACATTTAATTGAGGATTTTACCTCTTATCCATTTTGTTTGTACATTAAAATAACTTGAATTTGCTTCTAAGCTAGACTACTACAATGCACCTACAAAAGCTTGTGGAAAAAAAGAAGAGTGAAGTATAGTAAATTCTTTTCTGAAATTAACTACCTCGTGATTCCCCTCCCCCACCCCCTCCCCCTTATGCATTTAAAATTTTACAAAGACTTGTAAAAAAGTTAAATGGAATTTGGCACCTTCAGAAAAATCAAAAGGGAAACTAAGATTAAAATGCGCGGAAAGAAAACTGTCAGTATTTACAAATTAAAAGATCAAGATTATGTCAGTTACTTATGTTGCTTTTTAATTCTTATCTAAAGGTGTTGAGCACTTTCAAAAGAGCTGTATTCTGAGTTGCCTACAAAATCTTTTGTTTGATTATAGATTGGAATGGATCAAGACAAATTAGGTTTTATTAATTAAACAGTTCATTCCCCACTGGCAGCATTTCTTGTGAGACTAAGAGAGCCTAAGAGAAGCGAGGGGCTGAGCGGTCATTTGTCGTGGTCTTCTTCAGCTTCACGCCCCTGCGGATGGCGTTCAGCATGTCTTCTCCTTGTGGAGTATCTCTCGGGCTCAGGTCTGCAGGGTCACCCTCTGGAATCTGACCTGGGGAGACAGTGGCACTTGGGGGATCCCTTTCCTGGTCTTCAGCCTCACTCTCTGGAATCGCCTGTCTGTGCTCCTCAGGGATGCTGGGCTTCGGGCCTGGGAGTGGAGGGTTGACAGAAGCTTGGCCACTCCACATTGAGGAGGGCATGCTGGTGACACCTTGGGGGCCCTCACCCACAGATGGCAACTCAGGGCTGTGCTCAGCCCGCTCCTCTGGCCCATCTGGAGGGGCTGGCAACACCCCAGGGAGGTCTGGGACGGTTGGGGTCTTGACAGGGATCACGGGTGTCTTGATGGGAATGGGGCCAGCTCCAATGGTCCCCCGGCGGACAGGCTTGGTGGAAGGGGTCCGGCGGATGGTTGCAACCCCTGGGGTGACCATAGCAGGTCCGAGGGTGGTGGGGAGGCCAGCAGTAGAGGCGGGGCGCTTGGCTTGGAACATCCGCCGGTAGGACTGGCTGATGTCACTGTTCCTGGGAATGGTGGATGACTTGTCAAACTCCTGCTGATCTGCCTCCTGGTCACCGCTCACGGAGAAATAATCGTAATCTGAAACTGGTGATAGGGTTTGATTAGGCACATCCGACACAGCAGCTTTGCTTTTTGATTTTTCTGTGGTGGGAGGACAAAAAGCACACGGAGAAGGATATAGACACAGTCTCATGGAAACTTCCCCCGGATTTCTGTCCTGTCCTCAGAAAGCCTCACCAACTCAAACCTCCCTAGCAGGGATCATTGCTTGTCCCTGATGTGCCCTGAACATGGCTGGACATGGAAGGCACGTGAATATCATGAAATGGGAAGAGCAGAAAGCTGCCAGGCTGCAGCAAAGCTACCTCCAAGCACCTCTGGGAGGAAGATGGGGATGGAGATTATCCTCCTGTCTGGAAATCAGCATGAAAAACAAACCTCACACAGACCAGCCAAACAGTTCTGTTCTTTTACTAGCCCTCACTGAGTCAGTTCATTTTGGGGGAGACAAAATTAACTGACTCAGTTAATTAATTGGCAATGAGGCCCTGAAAACCAAGTACAATGGCAGGCTCCATCCATGCTACATGCTTGAAGTGGTCCAATGCCAGTCTCAGGGTGATGGGAAGGGGACACCTACAGACTAAACGTCTCACAGCAGCAGTTCAAAACAGCAATACCACTAATGATTTGGGCCAGATAATGCTCTTTAGTGGAGGAGAGGGGGCTGTGATGTGTATTACAAGATGTCTAGTAATGTCCCAGGCCTCTGCTCACTACATACTAGTAGGACAACCAGAAATATCTCCACACATTACTAAATGTCCCCTATGGAACAGAGAGGCTGTGACTGACAGATCATAAATGGCTTTGGTTAACTGGACAGATGTCCCAGCTATAGATATTTCCATCCTGTCTGGATTATGTGTGTCATGGGGATGGGGGTGAGGCAGGCAGGTTTGAGAGAGGGTGTGGGTGGACTGGGGTAAGAGCTTGGGTGTTAGATTCTAACACACCTGAGGTTCAAACTCCAGCTCTGCTACTTACTAGTTGTGTGACTATGAGCAAGTTCCTGAGCCTCAGTTTCCATATCTGTAAAATGGAGATAAAGATACTTATCCCAAAGAGACTGTAGAGATTAAAACGGGAAAATAAATATAAAGTACTTAGTGCAAAGTGCTAAAACAAAAATGAAGCCATTATCAACCGTATGTGTCTCAATTCAAATCTACCCTGATGGTGAAGAATAAAAGCCATCAAAGTCCAGATCAACTTTCTTAATACAGCAGCTACCTAACAAGCACCGGTAGCCTTTCCATGGCACACCAGATGAACAAAGTACTTGTGACACCTGTCTGTGAGCCAGGCGTTACACTGTGGTTAAAATGGACTATCAGTTTTCTGTCTCCTCCCCTGGTGCTGCTCAGAAAGTCCAACTGCAATGCCAGGATTCCCCATACCTTGGGAGGGGATGGTGTCTTCAGAGCAACACGGGGTAGTCGTCTGGGTGCTGTAGCCGCTGGAGCACTGAAGCGAGTCCCGGCTGCTCCTCTGGGTGTCCAGCTGGAGGCCCCGTGACAGGGCCAGGGCCAGCTCCTCACAGGCCTCCATCTCCTCCCCAGGCTGCAGGGTGGACCAGAGAGGGACAATGTCTCCACAGACAAGCCACCAGGGCTGTGAACCCCCATCTACTGTCCCCAGAATCTGTCTACACATCACTTTGGTGGGACTCCATACTACTCCTATTCTGTTCCTGTGAGCACCAGAACAGAAGACTGGGGGCTAATGCCTTGCCTCGGTCCTACCCAGGCTCTAGAAAGTTCTACCAATCTGGTTCCCACACAAGGCTCTTTCCAGTGTACTTCTACTTGCAGCAGAGCATTAAGTGAGGAAATGGAGCCCAGGTCCTCCAGCTGCCAGGCTGCCTCACCCCAGGTAAGCCTAGGAGGACCCACCCAACTATAGAGAACAAGAGTGTCACCCTGCTGGTGGCGGACACGGTCATGCTCCGCGGCCTCTGGGCCTCGTCGGCAGTGGCGGGCGGCCCGCCCGCGGCAGTGGGGCCTCCCCCGCTGGGGTCTGGTTCTCGCTTCTCTTTGCGGCGTTGCAGAGTATTCGCCAGGGGCTGGTCGTAGGGTCCTGGCTTAGCCCAGTCCTAAGCAGAACAAGCGCGGTCAGGGGCTGCGACATCTGCCTCCATTTGGAGGGCTGAACAGCTGTGAACGGGAAGCTGCCTACGGGAAGCAGCTGGTCCCCTCGGGGGTGAGCTCAGGCTAGGACGCCAGCAGGCCCTCTGCATGGCCAGGCTCTAGAAAGCAGGGAGTACCCTTGGGGCCCCTGGGTACTTCCCTTTTCCTCATTTCTGCCCAAAGTTTAAAACCCTCACTCCCCAGGCAGGCAGCAGGAGACTCTTGGCTAACAGCCACTAATAGGTAGCCAACATACGCTAAGGGCACTAGCCAGTGCAGGGCACACCCAGCCCTTCTGCCTGGAGGAACCATCTCTCCTTTAGCAACCAAGACAACGGCCCATTGGGGGGGTGGCCGTCCCGGGCACTAAGGCAAGCCCCTCTTCCTACAGGGATCCTCTGTTCCCAGGAAGCTGGCCTCACAGGGCACACTGGGATGCCTGTCCCCTCAAGTCCTCAGCTAGGAACGGAAGGCTCCAGGGGCAGTAGGACGATTTTGAGGAGTCTTGTGAAGTCCATGCAACCTGTGAGAGCTGAAGTCAAAATCTGCCCAACACTGGCAGCCAAGGGGCCTGCTTTTCAAATTAGAGTCCTCCTCTCAAAAGATAGTACCTCCCTATAATTTAAAACTTTGCTTTTATATTAAATATGTTTTCATAGAAAACAATTGAGACTAGGAATAAAGTCTGCCTACACTTTTTTAACCTAAACACAAAAATTCTAAACACACTTTGGGTTATGGCTGTGTTACCACAACCCAGCAGAGGACTTACTAGGGGAAAATGCTTGGGGGACATGGCTGAGGACAGCCCCTCCCAGTCACCTGGAGGTGCCTCTGATGATGCTGCCACCCTCAGGTGGGCCCCAGAAGGGGGATAAACCCAGCAGATTTCAACTTGAGGCAGAACTGGACCTTTCAACTTGGAACTGATGCTCCCTGCAATGCGCACTGGGCTGCTACTGGCGGAGGGCTGACCGCACTTCCCCAGAGGAAGACTCCTCAGCCTCAGCTCCATATGGAAATCACTGCCGTGGAGCCGCCCGCTGCTCTTTGATTCTCCCCCAGTGGGAATTTACTGAGGGAGAGGCAGTTATGGGGAAGAAGGCAGAGTGTGAAAGGAAGGGGTGAGGGGAGACCCAGGGTGAGGATGGCAGAACAGAAGGGTGAGCACAGAGGCGATGACAGGAGGAGAGGACAGGAGGGGGAGGAGAGACACAAACCTTCCAGCTAGGGATCTGAGATGACGGGAACATGCCGGGCCCAATGGTGTAATAATGAGCGTAGTCTGGAAGGTGGACAGAGGTGACCCGAGGGAGCAGGCGGGAGGCAGGCAGGCAGTGGGGGAAAAGGCCTGCACCCATGGGCCCCACGTGGGAATCACTTGATAAACTACAGTGAGAAAACCCGTTAGACAACTGGAAACAAAACAAACAAGGAGGGGAAAAAAAGGAAAAAAAAATTAATATAATAGGATGAGTGTGGAGATACAGATGGCATTGACATTCAAGGGAGGGGGAAACCTGGTATTTATAAATAAAACCAACATCAGGGCTCTGCTGATCTTGGGTGATCCATGATGCAAGAGAAAAGGGCCAGGGTGCAAAGAACGCACGTTTATTTGACACTCTGTAAGAACTGAGTCAAAAATATTTGACCTACATTTAGAATAGTCTGGAAACTGGTCAGTGCCCTTAACTGGTGGCAGTCTCAAGGTTTTTTTGATTACGTAACTAACGAAACCTAATCTCATGGTGGTAGTGATTTGCTCACCTCATTATGCAAATTAAAAGATTCTAAAGCGGCTTCAAATGAATGAGTTCATGCTAGGTTTCCAAAATCATTACATTTGATCAGGAACAGATTCCGAATCAAGGGTAGAGGGTGGGGGTTTGCAAACCAAAAGGCAGAAAAGCACACAGCCTCTGACACAGTGACATGTCCTGTCCAATGGTCCTGTGGGGGGGATAGGGAAGGGAGGGGGAAATGGATGTGCACACAACACCTGGTCTGGGAAGAAGCCTTCACACCTCCAAATTCCCCATACCCCTTCCTCTCCCTCAGGATGACCACACGATCACTGTTTAGCAGCCAGGCACTTGTTTGAAAAAGCCCTCATCCTTGTCCCACCCTCTGTTCCCCAGAGGGCCTTGATGTCAGTTCTGAATTTCCAGGTTCCTGTGGCTGTGAAAGCAGCAGGCAGGGGAAAGGTGGGGGGACCAGGGAGAACAGGGCCGCCATGGCTGCCACCCGGGCGGTCACCTTCTCTGCGGACACCCAGGCGCCCATGGTAGAGCCCGAGCTGACTGAGGTGGGAGAGCTGCACTCGCTCACTGACTGGCAGGTTTCAGAGGCTTCAGAGGAGGCCGAGCTGGACGAGTTCTGCAGCAGGGGAGGGGCCACACGAGGGGACCGACAGGAACCGAACCACACACCGCCAAATTATAATAAATAAAAATAAATAAATGAGGGTGGGAGTGGGGAGGGCACGCACAGAGAGAGGAGAGAGAGACATATACACAGAAGAGGGGAGAGTGAGAGAAGCAAAGGGTTAGGGTTATTTTCTCCCCAAAGTTGCATCTATATAGAAGTTGTCAAGCCCCTGAAAAGCAGCGTGAGACCCAGCCAGCCCTAAATCCACTAGACCATAAGCCCACAGAGGACATGAATTTGTGTCTTTTGCTGGTACCTGAAAGTGCACCTGGCCCTGGAGCATCCAGGCATGACAATGTTAGTCCCAGCAGTGCTGTGTTCTCCTGGGCTTCTCTTCCCATGTCACTAGCCCAGGTCCCCATGGAGGCCCTGCCTGGCCTGTCCCTCATGGGATGGGAATTACTTATGGCAAGAGGGCTGACCCCGTGGCTTGAGCTTTTGCTACATGTCTGCCTACAATGGCTCTACTTGCCGCTCTCCCTTCATCAAATGCAGCCTCTGGGGTCCCCTAGTTTCCACTTTGAGGTTGCTCTGTCTGGAGACTGATTTGGGGGTTGGAGACAGCGAATCCAGTGGTCAGCACAGTGCTTCTGGTGGCCATTGTGGGGAGGGATGAAGCAATTTGGGAAACTACCCCTTCCGTGCTGACCTATGTTAAACCTGGGTCCCTATCAGACTCCCAAGATTGGCCAGGGCACATGCTCCCAGCCTGGCTTCATGACACTCAGCTGAAGCAGAGGGACTGTCACTCTGTTCACCATTACACTCTGAGTTTTTAGTCCTGGACTTGGCATGTGGCACGCGCTTAAAAAGTACTGAATGGATGAGTGACAAGGACCACCTCTTTCATGTAAACTGGGTCCCCCAAGTGCTGCCTTGTGTTCACCCTGATACTTGTTTTAAGTTTTTCATTGTAACTTCAATCTCTGGCTTGACAAAAGTGTGTTTAAATAAGCTCAACTCTTCCCTCCCATGATTTCCCTAAAAGTGTTCTGTAGTCATTATCAAGGAGGCCAGATTCATATTTCTGTCCCTTTTACCCACAGAAGAAGAAAGGGACAGAGGTTTAGCCTTCCTGTCCTGAAAGGGCAAGGAATCAAAGGGACACTCCATGGCACGTGAGGCTGAAACAAGGAGAGGCTCCAGGGTAGACAGACAGACGCTGCACCCTGAGCTCTGGGGCTGGTTGCAGCCCAGGACCTGAAATCTGGATTGAAGTCACATTTCTGCCACTTCTCAGCTGAGTGATGATGGGCTTAAAGCCCTCTAAACCTCAATTTCTAAAGAATCTTTTGCCCCAGATGGAGTGAGCGGCTCCAGGGTGAGACCCTCACGGAAGACACAGCCCCACTCCTGGGCACAAGTGGGTTAAGGCACAATTTGGAAAAAGTGAAAGGCAGGGAAACAGGAGAATCCTGAACAAATGCCATCACCTGGCCTTCATCTAGACCTGTGTCCTGTCCCTCTTAGGTGTGTGCTCCCCTCTTCCCACCCTCAATAAAGCCATTACCACCTTCAGGAGATGTATGCTCTGGCTCATGTGACTTGTACAATTTCCTCATATTTCCTTTCTACCTTATAAATCTAGGCACCTACGAGGCCTTTTTAAAAGATAGATTTTATTACATTTTGCAGCATCCCTGAGCTCATTAGAACTACCTTGGAGTTACCAGCCAAGCATACTCTGGGCATGGGCTTTCAGATTTACATCAACCCAACATACCCCCTCTGCTTCCCTCCCCATCATCAGAGGCAGAAACACTCCGCTTTGGCCAGGCTCACGCATGGTTTTGGAATATAGTAAGCCCAAAGCATAGGCCTCTCTGTCCTAGAAAGGGGTGTCAGCACAGTGCTGTGTTAATTTTCAGTCAGTTAAAAACAAGCGCACAATTATGCGGCACATGAGAACAGCCTCAGAGGACTGCGGACTCCTGCTGCCCTCCTGACTGCTCACGCTCTGCTTGCAAGCCACACAGGTACGGTTTAGTAAGGCACAAGGCAGGCTCAGGGGATGGCTGCAGACCAAGCCAAAGCATCCCAGCTGGGACAAGCACTTTAAAACTAGAGCCATGGCTCTTAGCTCTTCATGTATCCATCTGAAATCGAGTGTCCATCCAAGGAGGAGCTAGAGGGCCTCTGTCCCCCAGGTGTGGTGAACAATGAAAAAGGGAGTGCTGCGCTCAGGTGAGAAACGCAGCGCTCTGGCACGGGTTTCCCAGCAGGTGGCGCTGCAGGGCCAACCCAATGGCACTAAGGGAGAGAGGACACAGGGATCACATACACTGACAATGCACAGGAGGGGTGTTCTGGTGCCCTCCCCAGTTCCGGTCTTCTGCTGCAGCTAGAATCGGGCTGGGCTGGGCCTAGCACCGTGGAACCCACACCCTGCCTTATCCCTGATCACAGTGTCCCCAGAATTATCTGAAGAGGCACAGACAATTCATTCTCCTATCAACATAAATGGCTAAAGGGAACTTGACAGTGCCAAGGAAGGGTGCCCAAAGTGCTGCTATTCAATGGTAGAGTCTCAGCCATTCAGAGAGAACCTGAGAAGGAGCACTGAGGGTGTCCCTACTGCCCTAGTGCCTGGTAACTGCACCATCTCACCAGGATGGGCACTTACAATGTCACCAGACAGTGGACAACTTCTTTCAATCTGTCCACTTACGTGTAAGAGCTGCCCAAATCAATGTGGTGGCTCAACCATTACCACCATGGAGACAGGCTTCAAACCCAACATACAGTCTCTCTCCCTTTGGGGAACAACACATTTAAGATGAGAAATTAAACCAGAGTTTTCTCAAGGCAGTAGATAGCAGTCTGTAAAAGCTGCTGCCCTTCTTTGGTTCTGGCCATTCACAGTGGTCAGGGCACCAGGTGTCACAGCTGCTCCTAAAGCCCAAACACTCTTACCTGGTTGGGAGCCTCTGGCGGCATGGGGGAAGGTGACTTGGACTGGAAGGCGTCCTGGGATATGAATCCTGAGTCGTGGGAGGACACGCTGGACAGCCTTACGGGTGCCTGCTGGGCCAGGTTGGAGCTGCGGTAGCGGTAATGCGAGCTGGGGGAGTGCGAGTGGGAGCCGCTAGACCGGGAATCACTGCTGTTGACACTGTTCAGGCTGCTGTGGGGACAGGCAGAGGGTGGTGGGCAAGGAAGGGAAAGGGGAAGTGAGAGGAAGGGGAGAAAGACAAAAGGGGCAGGGGAAGGAAGAGCACAGCAGAATGCGCTCAGCTCTCTGCTCCTAGAAGCAGCGCAAACCGTGAGACACGTTTCAGAACATACCAGATCACTAAGCTGATACCCAAAAGGCTTTTTTAGGTGAGCAAAGGAGTAAAGACACCACCAGGACTTAGGTCTCAGTGCAGTGTGGCATTCTTAGGATGGGGGTCTAGGATGCTAAAAATCAGCTCTACAATGTCACTGGCCACTAAAGCTAGGGCAGCGGATGCCAGCGGCATGACAAGGGACAGGGCTCATCTGTCTGTTCATCTGCTTGCAGGAACCATGACCCTGTGGCAAAACCCACTAAGGCCGTAGCATGACTCAGTCAGAATGTCCTTAGATGGACCATCTGGGTCCAGGTGACCAAGGTCAACACAGACAATCACTGTTGATGGATTCCCCAAAGTGATTTCACCCTAGGGGTGGGGCCTGACCAGGACCACCAGCAAGCACATCAGCAAATCATCTCAGTATGTCTGTGTGTGTTTTACCCTTCACTGATAAAGTGACATTTTAGTTAATGGTTTTCCCCCTGACCCCTGGTGTTTGTTACACTGTCTGTGGGTCTGGTATAATAGTACACCTAGCAAGAGGCAGCTTCCAGAATCTAAAGGGAATCAGCGCTGAGTTTTTGCTTCAGAGATGGAACAGTAAACAGAATGTCAAATAACGACACACCCCCGCTGGGTGTTCTGTCTGCGTTCCGTTCCATCTCCACTCATAAGAACGGCTCGCTTCAGAAAACTCAGATCACGAAAATGAGAAAACTGAGGAGAGTCCTAGGGTGCAAACAAGCAGAATTGAAATACATAAAGGGCAGCTGTAGACGCATATCTGAAGTGAAGAAATAAACAGCCTGGGAGTAGAAAGCTGGCGACTTCTGCTTTCAATGCTGTAAGACATTGTGTTTTGCAAACTCTGGTAGCTAATAAGGACTGCAGGGGTGTCTTAACCAGGATTTCATACTACGAATGTTCAGACAGATACAGGGAAATATGCTGGAGGAAACTGTAGCTTTGGGGGATAAATACCATGGTTTTTGTCTTTCTCTCCAATCAGCCAGAAGAGGGCATCTGGGGACTGACTGTAAAGCTCGAGGCAGCTCTACCCCAGCAGCCCTGTAGTTGCAGATGTCAATGCAACATGCTTTCCTACTTAAACTAAAATTGTAAGGAAGAAAAGACACCATGCAACTCTGTCTTACACTAATGAAAGGAGTTATTTTGGGCTGCCAAAAAGCAAATAGCCTTGTTTCTCTCTCTCTTTCTCTCTCTCTCTCTCTCACACACACACACACACACACACACACACACACTATGAAAGAGGACAAACTAATCAGCATCTTCAGGAGCCCAATGTCAGGATATTCTTAAGTCTGAACTTCCTGCTGAGTGTATATTGTACGAGCTCAAGTGTGAAAGGAAACATACTGGAGTACACACATTAGCAGATCTATCCTGCTCTTTGCTCTCAATGATAATACACAGCAAGAAGAAACTCATTTGGCTTTGTACAGTGAAATAAAAAGATTAGTGAGACGAGTATACCAAGAAAGATAAATGATAACTTCATGTTTTCATCATTCAGAGGAGAATAAACTTTCCTAGGATGGTCTTCCAATAGAAGACTGGTAGGCCACAGTTCTGTAGAAGGCGGAATTATTCCAAATGATTCTGAGTATGTTTCCATAGGGAATGGAGTTAACAGAGCAGTGGCGGTGGTGATGGTGGTTCATAGTTTTGGTTGACAGAGCAAGAACTCTGTTTACCTTATGAAATCCCAAGACAAAAATCTGGAGAAAATGAAGGCCTAAGCCATTGTTACTTCCTTCATTTGTTCTGGCAACAGCTCAGCTCAGCCTGTATAAGAATTAAACTAGATTCATCCTTTTTTAGTCCCTGTGGTTTTCACTATCAAACAGGAGAATCAAATGCAATCTCATAACATGGGAAAATCCCTACACAACGCAAGTAAGAGAGAGCAAGATACATTTGCTAGTCTAGGGGTAATGGGGTTTCTTTCTGATTCAAAATTAATGCACAGACTAAAGAGCGAGACCAAAATCATTAGCTTTCTCTCAGCTGATCATCTCCCCATTTCCTGCGGAAAACGAGCCGTTCTAGGAGACAGAGACTGGCTCTACTGCTCACACTGACATAAAGAAAAACGACACATCCCGAAAGCAAGCCCGGCCCCCAGCTTCACTTACCTGCAGACACTGGACTTTCTGGACATGGTGGTGCTGGGGGAAGAGGGTGGCGTCTGATAGGACCAGCTGTAATCAGAACCTTTCAAGTCCAGAATCACCTAGGGGACAGAGCCAATTGGGTAACTGAGGTGCTAGAAGGAAAACATTAGCCATCAAACCCCGGTACCTACTGTAATATCGAATTGCTGCCATCACAGGGGGTAGGAAGTGAAGGAAAAAGTGGTAAGTTACAAATTTCTTTAATTGCAGAAATATACCATCAACCCACCAATGTCATATTTCTTTTTCTGAAAAAAGCGCAACTATAATTAATGGGGGGGCAAAGGGAAAAGGAAATCCAGGAAATATCAGAGAGAGGAAAAAAATAATTACAGTAACCTGTTAACAACGTACAAGAGCTGGAATTCATAGGACTTGCACCTTACAGGACAATAAAGGCAGTAATGGCTTCTCAGCTACTGATCGTGCATTTTGACCACTTGTATTCAATCATCACTTGTGCCTTGTTTGGCCAGGACTAGAAATGTTAAAGCCTGACAGGAATCACAAGCAGGCCAAATCTTTCACAATTATTTCTACATCCACCACCCTGGCTTGACAAAGACCCACTTGAACATAAGGTCCACCTTTAATTCATGTAAGAGGTGCTCAATAAATTCCTATTTATTGAGTGAATGCATGCATGTTTTGGTCTAATACAAGTAAAAACAGCTTCATAGAACAGAAAATACAAGCTCCTCAATTTCTCTTCTGAGCTGGTTCTCCAAAGAATCAACAAGAATTGTATGTAAAAGGCCAATGCCAGCGTGTGATTTAGCTGTGCTTCCAAATATGTCTCTTCCCACTTAGTATAGTGTTATGTGACATAAACCAAACAAATAAAGCATCAAAAAGTCATCTTTTTTGTAAGACAGGAGAGATCTCCATGCGCTGCTCAATTAAAATGACAGACATGGAGACTGTTTGACAATGACAACCAAAGCAAACCACTGTCACCTTCCTAGGACAGCTTATTTCTAGAGGGTGGGTGGCACAGCAGTTAAGTGTGTGGGATCTGGGATGTGAATGCTTGGCTCAAACCCCAGTTCCTCTACTTACTAGCGAGGTGACCCTAGTTGAGTGATTTCATCTCTCAGTGCCTCGGTGTCCTCCTCCATAAAATGGGAATGGTGAAGATGAACGGAGGAGGTCTTGGTAAGTAAAGACCTTGGGATGGGGCCCAGCACCCAGTGGGTCCTACACTAGGGCCAGCTATGATGATTAACTACCTTCTATTACAATGTAAAGGACATGGTGAAACATGAAAATGATTTAAGAGATGATAAGTACCCCAGGGAGCACCACTCAGGGCCTTGAACTCCCTCTCTCTCTGTTGCTCCCCTGACTGCTCCCCCCGTGACTCCTACCTGTTCACTTGAAGAGGGAAGTTTGTGAGGGTCCATGGTCAGGCTTTTTAGATCTTCCGATATGGTCTGCAGGTGGGTTATTTCCCCCAGCATTGAGATTTCTTCCTCCTGAAGGAAAAGCCATTCATAGCATGTCATTGTCACGACTGACCACTTCATCCCTAGTCCCACTGCTCGTATCAGGGTCATTGTACAACGCCCTTTCCTTTGGTAAATGGAAAGTAAACGGGAGTCTGCCATCACTGTGGGGTGACCTGTGAGCCGGGTCCACAGTGAGCGTGGGGTCAGGAGGGCTTCCAGGCTTCCACGGGGCGTGTGACCCTGTGTCCTCACGAGTCGAGGCCCTTCTCTGAAGTGGCTCATTTTCAATGACATGACTTGAAGATACCTTGGTCCAAACTTACGTGACAGTCCACGTGTGTTCAACAGAGATTAACTGTCCCCCTCTTTCTTGTGTTTTTCCACCAGTTTAGCAAATGGCACAGAAGGTGGGAGCTGAGAACTATGGAAGAAGCATCCCATTCCCTCCGCCATGAGTCCCAACAAGAATTACCCCCGAAGAAGTCCTATACTTGGGGGATGACTCAGATTCAGACACTTTGCCAGGGCGCAGGGAAGTGAGCTGGTACCTTTTTATCAGATTCCAAAAGTGCCTACAGCAAACATTACCAGTTATAGCATACAAAGGATCTGCTTAAAAATTAAGTCTGAATTGATTCCTGGAGGTGCTTCCTGATTCATCTCATGGTCAATCCTTGCTCCTCAGCTTGAACGTGACTTTCTAACTACCTGGAGGGCTTGCTTAAAAAACAGATGGCTGGGTCCCCACCCCTAGAGTTTTGGACTCAGTGGATCTGGGCTGAGTTCAAGAACTTGCATTTCTAACCAGTTCCTAGGTGATGTTCGGGGACCCCACTTTGAGAACCACTCTGCCAGGGCCTTTCTGACTTGGGGAGAAAAAGTAAAGTGGAACAACAGGTGTGGAGAACTGTGACCAGGAGAGCAGGCCACACGCCCTCTGCTCCTACAGAGCCACTGGTCTGTACACATGACTGTGCGTCATGTTTCCTGACAGGCAGTGGATTCTCAGTGACTCAGCAGTGGGTGGGCAGACAGGAGCCTCCTGCAACTTACGATCACCGGGCGCAGCATGGAGATGAAGGTGCAGAACCGGCCGCGTTCTTCAATCAACGCCTTACGGACGGCCTGCTTCTCTGTTTCTTCCAATAAGAGATACTTATCGTTGACATCTTGGAGGGCACTGTCCAACTGAGGCTGGATGTCACCTCTCCCTGCAAATAAAACAAAGGTGCAAGCACGGCTTGCTGAAACACTGGCTTCTGGAACGAGCACTCCTCCTCCCTGGGGTCCTGGCTGAAGTCGAAACCCAGGACTTAAACAAAGGGGTTCAAGGTGGCTGCTTTTCTAGGCCACGCCATTCCCAATTTCCCGTGCCCACAGGGCAGCCTATACTGTCTACTTATGACATGGAGGATGTCCTGGGGTGGCTCTTCAGGACTCGCCTTCTCGCCTTTCGCAACAAGCGTAGAGCCTTCTGCCAACAAACCCCCAGGACACACAGCCAGACAGTATTCCTTTCTTTTAGAACATCCTGAAGAGGATAAGGGATGTAGAAACAAGGTGAGGGCCTGCGGACGTTTCCAAAAATGGGCACAAGCTGGCTCTGTTGGGTTGACCTCAATTAAGGAGACTTTATTCGGGCCAAAGTTTCTGTCCCTGAAGACAAAGGTGGCAAGCAGCAGCTCTCCTGCCTCGGGGGCCCCCGGGAACCTTTAGCAGTTAGTTTAATTCCCTAGTGGAGAGTCCTAAATCCTCTTCCTGTAAAACAAATCCAGTCACAAAAAGGCCTTCAGTCAGGTCTCTGCTGGTGAAAAACTGTAGAACCCCCGCCGTGCCTGGCTCACATTTGAGAATCATCTGGCCAGGGCCATGGCCAGCAGTTATGCGGAGGGAACCATGGCTAGACTTTAAGATAGGGTGTTCACCTTTTAAACAACTCTAAAACACAGCCAGCAAACTGTCTTTGTAAGTAAAGTTTATTAGAACACAGTCATGTCTCTATTCATTTACATACTGCCTGCACTGGCTCTCCCAATAGTGGCAGAGTGGGGCGGTGTGACATAGACAGGCAGCCTGGGCCTGAGACCATGACCGGTTCTGGCCCCATGCAGCAGCAGTTTGCTGCACTAGAAGATAAACCAGGCAAACAGGCACTGCACTTGAGGGGAGCAGCTCCTGGAAATCTGATCTACAGGTGGGGGCAGAAGTGTCATCACAGGGTACACACCTTTGGGTCTCCCATCTCCCAAACCAGAGAGAATCTCTAAACTTCATCAGGGCAGGGTTTTGGCCCATCCCAGCATGGCCCCTGGTATAAGCGTCATATGGATACATAGCAAGTGCTCAAAAAAAATCTAATAGTTTTACACAGAATGTTAGTGCTGCGGGGAGGCTTAGAAGCTATCCCACTGGGCCAAGATGCTCTTGTTTCTGTGGAGGCCAAGACATACAGGAGTTGAGGGACTTATCCAGGGTCACAGAGGGCGAGGCACAAAGCCAGGGTAGCGCCCACATGGCCTGACTCCCATAACACTGAGCCCAGTCTCTGCCCTGCACCCTGAAGCTGAGGGAATGAACCCTGCTGCCGTGTCGGAAGGGCCCTTACCTGTTTACCTCTCCTAGAATGATGTAGGGAACATTCAAAGCAACATGCTATGTGATTTTATGAAGGAAAAGGGTGAGGAAAATTGTCTCAGAGGTAGGAAGGTGTTCCACATTTTCTCTTATAAGCAGATGAGAAAGCTTAATTTGGAGCAAGAGGCAGTCAGGCTTGAAGAACATCCCGATAGACAAGGTGATCGAGTAAGGAAGAGTTACTTCTCAGGCAGGACATAAATTCTAAGTTAGCATATAATTAGAAAATTAAATGTAGTCAAAGATCACCCTTGAAAATGCCTCAGATGGCCATTAAAGTATGCACAGCTCTGTGACTATAACTCTCAGTAGTCAAGTGAGCACAAACGTATCATGTGGACAGTATACAACATCGACGTCCAGGTAGGGATTTTATCCCACAACACCTGACAACAGTGCCCTCTCATCCACAGGGCTTTCTGCCTCCAGGCTCAGTTACCTGATGGGGCAATTCAGTGGGATATTTGGAGAGGGGGCCGGAGAAAGCAGAGGAAGGAGGAGAGAAAACCACGTTCACACCACTTGTAGTGAAGTATATTGTTAGTACATAATTCTTCTAATTTATTATTAGTTATTGTTACTAATCTCTTACTGTGCCTAAATTACAAATTCAACTTTATCACAGGCATATAACGTACGGGCAGTCCCTGAGTTACAAGCATCCGACTGACATGTGGCTTGCACTTAGGAACAGAGGCTATTATCGGTAATAGTAAATCTACCCATTCCAACTGACATCCAAATTCAACTTAATAACTTATAGAATCTATCTTGGTCATGCACCAGGGGGCTGCCTATATAGGGGAAAAAACAGTATAGACAGGGTCGGGTACCAGCAGCAGTTTCAGTCACGCTCCTGTGGCCTTGGAACATATTCCCTAAGGCTAAGAGGGGGTCCTCTATATAAGACACTAAGGCTAAGGGGGGTCCTCTATATAAGAAACTGGAGACCACCACTGTGCCCAAGGGCTCGCAGAGGGAAGGCTGGGCGTCATCAGCGCTATGAAAATGGGCTTTTCTCTTCCATTTAAAATGCTGCCTTGTGCAACTGAACCCACATGCACCGAATGTGTACATCATACAACCCCACTGGCAGCAAAGCTCTGGAGAGCCCTGAACATTCACTTTTCCTCTGTCCCGGGCAAGACAGCTTGGCCAGCCCTGGGCTTTGCTGGGCGAGGCTGTGTAGCTTGTTGCTGGTTGCTGTGCTGGAGGGCTGAGGACCACATCACAATGTTCTTAACTCTGAGAGAGGAAGGTGTGTGGGAGAGTGTGGGAGAAGGCAGACCGAAATGCATACTGTTTGATCAAACCTGCTTGGATGTGCTTTGGCTGTGGTCGCGTTTATTTTAAACCACCACCTATGATGATAAGAAACTGGAAAAATAAGTATCTTTACTTCCTTTCACAAGGAAGGCACCTGTCTACCTATAATTAATAATACTAACTTTAAGTAATAGATCTGCATAAGAAAGAAAAAAGGGAATAAAACCCAGAATTATCTAATTTGGTAAACACAAGTTTAAATTATTCTCTGATTACAGCAACGTTAGTTTAAATATGTATTATGTAATGATTAGAGGTCTCTCAAACTAGTATTCTAAAATAAGTACAATCTGTAAAGACTTCTGTAATTGTAGGCATAGTGAGAACATTCCATTCTGGATATATCATAACCTAAAACACAATGTTTATTTCTTAAATTCACTAAATATAACATATAATTATATTTATTAAAAAAACTGTGGAAGAAATTATTCCATGTCCCTATTGGATGCACTGGTTTTATGATGCAAGGATATTTTTGAGGTCCACAGCTTCCAAGTTGTACTGGTGCTGATTTTGTACACAGTAGAAGCTCTGTAAGTTGACCACCCAAGGGACTGTAACAAACTGGTCAGCATATGGAGGTGGTCAACATAAGGAACTAGGCCTATCGTACTGATTCATACACTTGGTGCTTGTCCAGTCTATGAAAATGAGGTCAACTTACGGAGGTGGTCGGTATAGGAAGGGGGTCACCTATGGAGGTTCTGCTTATACAAAAGCCCATTCATTTCACCGCTGACTCCTGGTGCACAGGTCCTGCCTACCATTCCTACTCCCACGAGGACTTGTTCCACCCTCTTGTCTGACCTCTGCTACCTCTATCCTCACTGGGCCACCATGATCTTTCACAACCCCGAAAGCAACACTCCAGCTTCACTCAGACCAGGTCCCCCAGAGCCCTGAATTACTTCCAAAATGCAAATACTGTTATTACTCCTTTCCAACAGCTCCCACCGCTCTCAAGCCCGATGTCCTTAGCACGGCCTGCCCTCTAAGCAGAATCATGCCGTCCCATCTCGCAGCCTCAGCCTTCTCGGGCTATTCTCCTGCTCCCTTTCTCCCTTCCATCCTCTGGGGTCTGGGCTCCATCCCATCTTCATGTAAACTCTCCTCCTTGTGCCTAACATCTGTACATCTGTTCATCCTGTAAGTCTGGCTTAATTCTGGACCATTCAGGGAAGGTCTCCTTGAACCCCTCCCAGGCTGGGATTCTCCTACTTGATCTCAGACGCTCCTTATGCTTATCCTTCCCCCAGTTTGAATTCTGTCTTTTTTAATTTCTCCAGTTATTTGATTGACATCAGTCTCTCCTACTGATCAGCAGCCTCACGTGGGCAGAACCTCTGAGTGAGTCTGCTCAGTTCCGTGTGTTCTCACTCAGCACACTTGCCTGGATGACGGCAAGTGTGCAAATATTTGCAAATGAAGGAGGCCCTGATATACTAACTTGTCCTGAGTTTGCTCGCTGGCCTCCACCATCACGCCCTCAACTGGCCTAACACTTCAGAACCAGCAAATGCTAGGACTCAGTAAGCAGCCAAAAGGAGAAGGGAGGGGGTGCCTTAGCTGGGCTTCCCAGACAGAATCCTTAGGCACAGAAGTGCTTTCAGCTTTTTCTGTAAGATCTAAGGCATCCTCAGTCTTGAGAATTTTTTTTTCCCCCACTGCCAGTTTCTAGGTCTTGGTGTGTTCGTGCTAGGGAATTCTGCTACTCTCCCTCTCCCGGGGAAATCATGATTATGATCTTCACTGTAAGGGTTCCTGGGACAAAGCACTGTAAATGGGCACCATGCTATGGGCCCAAGCAGCACCCCTAAAGAAGGAAGGAATGTTTAATTAAGTAGGGAGAGTTTGCAAAGCTTTCAGGAATGAAATGAAGATCCTGTATCAACTTCCCAATGTTTATACTTTACTTTCCTTAATCTTATGCATAAACATTCAAGGCAGGAATCAATGTCCCTTTTGATAGATGAGACTACAGGAGGTACAGTGGCTGACACAGGGCCACAATTACTGCAAGCTAGTCGCAGGTACATCTAGAATCCAGCCCCAGGTCTTCCCCATTCAGAAGCCCACGTTCTTTATGCTTCTTCTTCACAGCAAACACAAATGCTGGAAACAAGCTACCAGGAGCTGACCAGCCAAACAAAAGCCAGTCGAGTGTGATCAGCATCATCTGTACTGGTCCAGCCTCTCCAACTCACTCTGCACCCATCACAGTCACCACGCCAGGGTCCATTATCAGGCA